GTCAAATCAACTTGCAGAAAGGAAAACAAATGTTTATGTCCACCTCCACATAACAGAAAATGACAAGTAAGAGAGCATTATTTTCCATATGAATTGCTGGCATTAAAATCTTTTCCTTTTTTTTTTTTTTCTTGTAGTGGGGCTTGAACACACAGCCTTCAAACTGAGCTACGTCTCCAGCTCTTTTTATTTTTTACTTTGAGATGGAGTTTCACTAAATCACTGAGTTGCCCAGTATGGGATGGAACCTGTGATTTTCCTTCCTTACCCTCCCAGAGTTCTGGATTACAGGTGTGGGCCCCTACAGCTGGCCAGCAGATATTACAATTTTTTTTTTTTTTTTTGTACTGGGGATCGAACTCAGGACCTTGTGTTTGTGAGGCAGGCAGTGGAACCACTGAGCTAAATCCCTGGCAATTATTACAATTTTTTTAAAAAGGGGTTTAAAAGCAGCCTCTTCTTTAAATTAGCATTTTTACATATACTCAATGGCTGTAGTTGTTTTTTGAGTTTCTCCTAGTATTCTTTGCTGAACTGTATTTTGGTCAAGTGTAATCTCAAGATTGGACTTCTGTTTTCAGTTGGGTGCAGTGTATTCTTGAAATTTCCATAAAGGAATAAATTATTTTATCTATGAATTGTCTTATATACAAATAGCAATCTATAGTTTAGAGAGATCACTTGAGTCATTTCACCTTTGCACTTAAAGCCATATTAATTTTTTTTTTTTGAGACAGGGTCTTGCTCTGTAATTTAGGCTGGCCTTGAACTCACTATGTAGTCCAGGCTAGTCTTGAACTACTGGCAATCCTCCTGTCTCAGCCTCCTGAGTGCTGGGATTACAGCTGTGCACCACCATGCCAGGCGTTAACTATTTTTCTCTCTATTTATCTATCTTATTGGTATCTTCTTAGGCACACTATGGAACATAAAGATGAATGGTAATATAAATCTTTAAAATTAGATAAAATTTCTATAACAAAACCCATTTTTAGTGTACAATTCTAAGGCTATTATTTTATTTGCAATGTTATACAACCATCACCACTTTCTAGAACATTTTCATCACCCCAAAAAGAAACCCCATACTAGTTAATCAGTCACTTCTTATTCTCTATCTCCTGGTAACCACTAATCTACTTTCTGTCTCTATGGAAGATAACTTTTGGGGACATTTTGTATAAATGGAAGCAAACAATATATCATCTTTTTTGTTTCTTTCTTTTAGAGACAAGGTCTCCCTATATAGTTCAGGATGGCCTTGAACTTACTATGTGGCCCGGGTTGGCCTCCTTCCTCAATCTGCTGGAATTGTAGATGTGAGACACCACACCTGGCTATAATATGTCATCTGTTGTGACTTCTTTCACTTAGCATTACTTGCAAGTTTCCTCCATACTGTAGCATGTATAAGTACACATTTCTTCTGGCTAAATACTACTCCATTGTGTGGCTATATCATATCTTATCTATTTGTCATTTGATGGGCATGGGTTGTCTCCACTTTTGGGTTATTACTGATAATGCCATTGTAGACATTCATATACAACTTTTTGTGTGAACACACATTTTCAGTTTTCTTGGATGTGTTCCTAGGCGTGGAATTGCTTAGTTCATATGGTAAATCTATGTTTAAGCTTTAGAGAAAATTTAAGATGAAAAGTAATACAAGCAACTATTATAAGTAATTAGAAGTGCTGGGTGTGGTGGTGCACGCCTATAATCTCAGCACTTGGGAGGCTGAGACAGGAGAATTGTTGCAAATTTAAAGCCAGCCTGGTCTACATAGTTCAAGGCCAGCCTGAATTACATAGCAAGACTCTGCCTTAAAGAAAAAGTAATTAGAAGTATCTAATGTAAATCTAACATATACTTTAAAGAATGCTTTTTGGTGGTAGTGGGAATTGAACTCAAGGGCACTGTGCCACTAACCTATATCTCCTGCTTTCCTCCCTCCTTCCTTCCTTCCTTCCTTCCTTCCTTCCTTCCTTCCTTCCTTCCTTCCTTCCTTCCTCTTTCTTTTGAGATAGGGTATTTGTTCAGTCATCTAGGCCGGTCATGAACTCTGACCCTCCTGTGTAACCCTTCCAAGTAGTTAAGATTACCATTGTGTACTACCACACCTGGCAAAAAAGTTCATTTTTGTAGCCTTAATATGTGTATGAAACTTGGCTAAGTGCTTGATTTGCAGTTTCTCATTGAGTCCTCCCAAATTTCTGCAGTAGATCTACTTCTTATTAAAACCATTATGCAGAAGAGGATACTGAAGTTCAAAAACAGTGAACAATTTGATCAAACTCGGGTCCTTGTGCTTGAGTGCCAGAACCACTGAGCTAAATCCCCAGCCCTTGATCACTCTTAATGACTTAAGGCACTTATGATCCCAAGAGTACATAAAATGGAGGGAGTTAGGGCGAGGAAGGAGAGGGAGGGAACATAAAATGAATTAAGCTGTGCCGACTCCCCATGACGCATGTAGTCATCATGTACTGCAAACATGTGCTAACAAACATAAAAAATTTTAAAACCACCTAAGTTAAAAAGAAAAGTAAAAATGAAGTCATAAGCACTTGTATATGAGCCATAGAATGTGATTAGCAAACTGGAAGCTCAGGGTAGAATAGGAAAGTCTTTCTAAAGGGCAGAGCATTGGAAGGAAATTTGATAGGCATTGAAAGGAAGTTGACAGGCAAAAATTCCAGTAGAGGACCTAGGATGGAGACCAACTAGGTGAAAGAACTATTAACAGGTTGGCAAGTTAGTTTCACCTCAAGTGTTACTTTGATTGACAGTGGTTGACTATAGCACTATATTGAGACATCGGATCCCAGCCCAGTGAGAAAGACAGACCACTAATTAGCAGTATCTGCCTAGGGCAAGGGAGGGGAGATTTGTAGCATTATGCTAGCTATGAATTCTCATCACTAGGAGATGAGGCAGAGATGAGAAATTATGGGTCATGCTTTACAAAAGAATGACTATAATATTTTGACTGCAACATCAGGTATGGGTAGGAAAGTGGAGGCTGAGATTAGAAATATGTAATGAGGTCACATTGAAGGGTGTTATATGACAGACAGAAGAGTTTGTGTGCAATTCAAGAAGCAGTGAGGAGTCACTGAAGCTTTTTAAACCAAGAAATAATGCCATGGGAGCTCTGCTATATGATTAATATGTCAGTGGCATATGGACAGGGAGCTATAGGGCTGGGGATTTAGCTTAGTGGCACTGCGCCTGCCTCATAAGCACAAGGTTCTGAGTTCGATCTCTGGTACCAAACAAACAAACAAAAACAACAACAAATAGGAAGCTACCACTTCCTCCACTAACTTGGCAAAGATGAAAGTGTAAATATGAAGAAGTGAACATTCAGGTAATCTGCTAAGAATACATGGTTTAACTTTTCTGGTTAAACTGGCAACATGTATAAAAATCCTTAAAAGCTGTCTCTCCCCTTTAATTTAATACCCAGAAATTTGTTTTTATTTTGTACTCTATTTATAAATTCTCACTTGGTTGGCCTTACTCTTTATGCTTAGCCTTGCACAATACCATTAAACAATAACGGGCAAACAATATTAACGATGACTGGAAAACTGGAAAACATTGTTTTTTCACAAATCAAAGAAATAAACTGGCACCCCTCCTTTTCAGCAGCATAATGTTAAACAGAAGGAAAAATGCCATAAGGCAAATCATTTACTGTATCATAAAATCTTTCAATCTCTGTAAAGACCAAGGGACATCATCCTTAAGTATCTAGAAATTTGTGTCACAGAAATAATATTGAGCATGTGCAAAGTTTACCTCTAAAACTTTTCACTGCATCACCATTTAATCTTCAAGTCAAAACTAGTTTATATTGGCAGATTTAAGTTTAAAGGAACACATAGCACATTCTTTCTTTTTGCCCCTATGTTTAAAAATTTAAAATTAAGACATAATTCATTCCTGAAGTAAAGGGGTGGATTCAGAGAACATTCAGGAAACACATGCCTGTGAGCATTCTCAATGAAGCAGGGGGAGGAGTTATAGAACATTCCTGAAGTAAAGGGGTGGACTCACAGAACATTCCTGAATAAAGGGGTGGAGTTACAGAACATTCCTGAAGTAAAGGGGCAAAGTTATAGAACCTTCCTGAGAGTGGGCAGAGCTTAACAGATCATTCCTGAACAGTCACGCAGTTCAAACAGTCACACGCCATTTTGATATGTTGGGCAAGAGCCCAGCCACATAAATTTATATTTCCTCTGTCAGGGTCTGGCTTCATAGACATCCACATTGTGATGAATCCACTATTTCAACGGAGTTCAAACCCAAGATGGACACCACAGGACCAATAGATTCTTCGGATCAGAAGGAAGAACAAAAATGCCATGGGATATAATAAGCAAAGCTTCAGAGAAAGCCCTTCGAGGCTGGTGATGTTCAGTTGTGCTGCACCTGTCTCAAGAGCACAAGGTCCTGAGTTCAGCCCCTGGTACAAAATGAAAGAGAGAGAGAGAGAGAGAGAGAGAGAGAGAGAGAGAGAGAGAGAAAGAGAGAGAGAAAAGAAATAAAATTTCAAGTCTTCCACTTTAAAAAAGAAAGAAAGAAAAAAGTTTCCAGTCTTTCACATTAAGAAAGAAAGAAAAAGGGCTGGGGATTTAGCTCAGTGGCACTACACCTGCCTTGCAAACACAAAGTCCTGAGGACAATCCCCATTACCCCTAAAAAAACTAAAGAAAGAAAGAAATATAGCCAGGCAAGGTGGAGCTCACCTGTAATCCCAGCTCTCGGGAGGCTGAGGCAGGAAGATCCCTGTGAGTGCGAGACCAACCTGGGCTACATAGTGAGTTCCAGGTCAGTTTCAACTACATAGTGAGACCCTGGACCCTGTCTCAAAGAGAGACAGAGAGAGAAAAAGAGAGAGAGAGAGAGAAGAAAACAGAGAGAAAGGAAGGAAGGAAGGAAGGAAGGAAGGGACGGAGGGACAGAGGGACGAGGGAGGAAGGGAGGGAGGGAGGCTGGGAAAGAAAGAAAGAAATTTCCAGTCTTTCACTTAAAAACAGAAAAAGAAAGCAAGCACCGCAACCCTTGATCGCCGGCACCTGGCCACATACTTAGAGACAGCACCGCTTTCCTCAAGCAAACCGAGCCAGAGCTTTGGTCCCAGGAGTTCTGAGTTCCCACGCGGGACACCACAGCATACGATGCACAGGTAAACAAGCCAGACATTCGCTTTGGTTCTTAAAGGTGGTCACGAGCACTGACACCGATGGAAATCCCGGAGAGGACTGCGGAAGGGAAGGCCTGCCAGGCTGGAAGGCTGAGACCACCTCTTACAAGTGATCAGAAAACAAAAAATGAGGGCTGGGATTTAGTTCAGTGGTTCCACTGCCTGCCTCACAAGCGCAAGTTCCTCAGTTCCATCCCTGGTACCAAAAAATAAAGAAATAACAAGTGATCAGGACGAGCACTTCTTGGGGTCTCAGCCTGCAGTCTGAGAAGCAGGAGAGCAGCGCTGTCGGGGGACCCTCTGCTCACCAAGTTTCCTCTGAGCACAGCCTGGAACGTTCACCCAGCGTAAACTCCACAGGGAGCCCAACGCCACTCAGTAGCGTGACCACCTCCAGGGCTCGTGTGAAAGCAGCTGAGTATTATGTTCTCCTGGGTCATTCATTCACTGCCAGGAATGGAGACAAAGCCTGAACTACGGATTCAGCAGAGTTTATCTATTTATTTGGAAAGAAAACTGTTACACTAATAATGAACCTATTTTTCTGCTTCCTATGAAAGTAGTCTGGAGACTTCACACTCATCCTTTCAGGTGCTCTTACAAAACCTCCCGACAAGGTTGGTAGAATTACGAGCCTTGTTTTGTAGACTGAGATTTCACATTAGAGATATAACACTATCTAGAGATCTCTTCGGCTATAAACATGTGAGTACATTAAAAATCCAAGAGGCACAATTAGGACTCAAGACTAGATGTCAAAAGCTTATAATCACAATTCTGTACGACAGACAAGAGAAAGACGACTTCAGTCAAACATTTTCTGTGAGCTTTGGCAAATTGTTGTACATTAATAAACTGAGGACAACATTTGCTGCCCTTTTTCCTCACAAATGTCACCAAAACAAATGTGAAACCATTTTTATGAAAGAATTCAGTGAATAAAACCATACAGTGTTTTAAATACCCTTATTTTTGTCAACTTTTCAAAATGAGTTATTTTCTCATTTAAACAGAAGTATGTCTAGAACAACCAAGAAGGGCTCACCCAAAGCCACGATGCACAGTTTCTGGAACGCGTCTGCCAAAGCCTTCTGAGTAGCAAGTTTCTGGGCCACCTTCCTTTTCATAAGCAGTGCCATCGGCCCTAGATGTAACCCAAAGAAAGGAATCTGATGACTGTTCCGTTAAAGGTAACGACACATCCAGACTGTTAGGTGTTATCCCAGGGCCTCGAGGCAGGCACAGCATGAGGCCTGTGGCAGGAAGGGCCAGGCTCCCTGCCCTCATCTACCGAGCAGGTCCCTGACCCACCACAGGGAGAGCTCAGCCAGGAACCTGGCACAGCTCTCGCACCCCCGCAGAGGCCACACTGACGAGTGCAATCCCCTCCTACAGACCAGCGCGCTGTGAGTCCAGACTGGAATCACAGTGCGGAGGGAGAAGGGATCGGAGGTAGAGCGGATGACCGGCCACTCCCTGCTCAGCAGCCGCGCAGCGGATCAAAGACGTGGGCTCTACAGAAACACATCCTTCCCAGGTAACTGTACCCCACTCTTTTTCTCCTCAAACCCTCAAGGGAATGAATGCTTACACAAAATGTATGGAAAGCTTTAGGTGATGATTTTGCCGAGATAACTAAAGACTACAAAAGACCCGTACTTGAAGAAGTATTGTAGCATAAAATAATAAACCACGAATTGTATGGCTCAAAATGCTGCGCAGGAAGGGCTTCAGTAGCTCTGCAAGGTAACTAAGAAGTGGATTCTGAAAAGAAAGAAACAAAGAGACCCCTTGCCTCTGTCCGCCCACCAAGAACAGACCCTGCTCCAGCTCCTGCAGAGGCTCCTCCACAACGGCGCACCCAGGACTCCTGCACTCGTAGGCCCGGCAGCACCACCTCCACAGCACACAGGAACTTCAGGCTCTGCCTCCCCAGTGCGGCCGGCGCAGCAAGAGCCTCTTCTTCCCTTCCTTCGAGGTCAGAAAGCTCCTGCAGCTGTCGGGATTTTGAATTAAAGGTCTTCACTATGGTTTGTGGTGCTGGGGATTGAACTCAGGGCCTCACACACGCTAGGCAAGTGCTCCATCCCTGAGCTACATCCCCAGCCCCCACCCACGACTTTAAAATAAATACAAACTGACCTCCAATGATCCCCGCTAAAAACTGAGGTGTCTTATAGCTTCAATCAAATTAAGAGTTGCAGGTGAATTACTAGATGTAGACGGCCATTTTTACTAAACCCCTCACAGACACCACAGCCACGTGACTGAGACAGCTCCATTCTAGGTGGCAGCGATTCAGACACATCCACTTCCCCTGCACGACGGGTGACCTCCAGGTCTCCTCGACCCCATTCGATCCTTCCGTCTCAAGTCTAGGGTAATAATACTGAAAAGAGGGTCTGAAGGTCCAGGGATTTAGCTCAGTGGTTCTGCCGCCTGCCTTGCACGTGCGAGGGCCCAAGTTTGATCCCCAGTATCAAAAAATGGATTGGGGGCTGGGGCTTCGGCTCAGTGGTTCCAACTCCTGCCTCACAAGTGCAAGGGCCCAAATTCGATCCCTGGTACCAAAAAAAAAAAAAATGGATTGGAAAAGGGGGTCTGGTTAGTCAAAGGAAATCTACAAAGCTTACCTTGATGATCCTTTTTGACCATCCATTGAAACCAAAGTAGTAATTTGCCAGCTCTTGGCATCGTGAGCTGCTCAGGGGAAGGGTCTGATGTCGAACTGCTTTATGTCTGTTCCCCAGATGAACCTGAGGTCCCAAGAGATGGACAAGCAAATATCAAGACCGGCCAGAGCACGCATTCCGGACATATACTGATTTCACAGAGAAGCTGTGAAGATGAAACAGGACAGAAAGGACATCTGAAGTACTGCATAGTGAGGCCTAAATGCTTTTTATTCTCTTTTGACCTCTGCACCATTTTCAGGGTTCCCAAGCAACAGGAAGGTTTCCCGGACCTCTGGGGCTGAATACTGATGATAAAGCAAGCCAGGAAGCACTACAGGGAAATCCTCAGGCTGTGAGGAGAGGTGTTTCTGCCTTCCTATCTAGTGGCCACTGCTTACAACTGTGACCTAAGGAGCAGGTGAAAACACCTGCCACCACGCCCTCGGCAGTTACCAGCCCTGGGGGAGGAGGGACCACACACCCCACTGTGCGTTTACCAGCAGCTGAAACCATCACAGCTTCATCTGTGCGACCAAGCATCTCTGAGAGTACAAACATCAATGGACAGTTAACACTCTAACACCTTATATGGTATCGTGGATTTTTTTCCACCACTAGTCATTTTGAACGTCTATTCCTTTTTTAAAAAAAGTACAGTTTATGAATATATTAATCAAATTTGAACAATATAAAGTCAAAGCATTAATCCTTTATTGATCTATTTATGCATCTTCTCCCTTTACCCTAGTTTATCAGCTCGCTAAGAGCCCCAGGGACCAGTTCTTGTATTTGCCTCATTCTGAGAACCCAGCGCAGTCCTTGGCTTCTCAGAGGTTGATGGTCTGATGACTAAGTGAAGGAGAAATGAAGGCTGCCTTTTAAGTGTCCAGGGCTGGTTCACACGGTGAGTCACTCTGGAGCTTTTCTAGCAACCAGGAAGCTTCAGGGAGCCCGAAGGAGCACAGCCCTGGGCAGGACACACAACTGTCACCTTAGATGACCTTGTCACAGCTCTCGCTGGTTACCATTTTCCTAGAATAGGGACTGGAACACAACTCTCAGGGGCCTTAGGCCTTTCCTTGATTTTATTTTAATATTAGTCTCTTTCCTGTAATTATAAAAGACAAGAACTATGTGTCCTTGCCAAAGCATGAAAGAACAGTTATAATAAAACTAGATAATTTGGAGAGTAGGGGAGAACATAAGACTCTCTGTTAGGTTAAAAAAATATAACTCTAATATGGATGCTTTCCCTCAAAAATACACTGACTTGTTGAACATGCCCTTCATCACTCTACCAGTGATGCGCTTTACACCGTAGAATTCTCAAAACCTCAGGTTTGGGCCGGGGATTTGGGACTTAGCTCAGTGGTTCCGCCACCTGCCTCATAAGCACAAGGACCGGAGTTCAATCCCCGGTACCAAAAAAAAACAAAAACAAAAACAAAAACAAAAACAAACCCTTCAGGTTTATTAAACAGTCTCAATGCCCAAGGAGCACTAAAAACTCACATGGCTCACCAAACGATACCGAGGAGCTCCTTGGGAATCTCTCCAGTACCATCTACTCTATCGAGTGATAGTCCAGGTCACAGTCCAAACCGTCAAAGAAGGTCTGGAGGGTGACCATTTTGATCACAGGAAGTGGATCCAGGATGGAAGAGGGCGCTGCACAGGGTAGAGAAGTTCAAGTAGCGTTCTAAGGTCTGTCAAGGTTAAAGCAAGGAGCGCGGGGCTCCAAGGCCAGGAGCATGAAGCGGACGGAGTGGCTGGGCAGGAACGGAAAACGATCAAGAATGATCCGCCTGACTTCTGAAAACTGAAGGGCATCTCACAGGCAGTGGGAGGTGGTGATGATAAAGCATCCTTTCTGTTACCACTGATAACAGAGTTTCACAAACTCACATTTTAAATCCACATAAAAGTGAAACTAAGGGTCCTTCCGGTGAAGATTTTTGGCAGGGCAAAGACAGAATGACGTGAGTTTGCACATACTGTCACGAACCTCTTAAGGGGCTCCGTGCCCATCCTGAGGGTGGTTTTCTCCATCTACAGAAGCTGCCACCGGAGGACGGCGCGGCTGTGCACCCGGAAGCACCGTGTAGCGAGCGCGCCCGACGCCGAGCTCAGCACTGATCCCCACCCCCCGGGTCCAGGGGCCAGCTCGGAACCCACCTTCACCGGGGCGCTCTGCACCAGCGGCCTCCCGTCGCAGGCCTTCTGGGCTCTTCGGGCATCTCTGGCAGAGTAAAACTTGACGACGGCGTAGAAACCAGG